AAAAGGTTAAATTTTTATACAAGCAAAATGAATTTCGGACTATGCATTTGTCAGGTTGAACCGTAGCAGGTACAACACTGTTTCTTAAATGATTAAGAAAAGGCCAAAGAGAAAACCAAGCTCAAATGCTAGAAAGTATGTAGTTGCCTAAGAGGGAATTGACTGAAAAGGCCCACAGGGAAACTGGTTAGAGAAATGAGTGAATTTGGCTGATAGTTACATGTATACCACTGAAAAACTTTTCAAACTGAACCCTTATATTCTACAATCTTGTTTGTAAATGATACCTCAAAACTTGTAAAAAGGGCCTGGCTCTTTGGTTAAGAGTTGGCTTGGGAGCACGAGCTCTAAGAAGCGGGGATGCTGGCCCACATGAGGACCAGTGACACTGCGCCCTCTACAGCTAAGATGGTGAATGACAGCTCGACCTGGACCTGGAGCTGGGCTGCGTGAGTCACCAGCGATGGCATAGGCTGCAGTGGGGTTGGCCGGCAGCGGGCGTGAGCTTGTGTGAGCTTGCATGAGCTTGTGTGAGCTTCCATGAGCTGCCGTGAGCGGCCATCCAATGGCCAGCAAGTGACTGCCTCACCCGGGAAGAGCACCATGATCACAACACCAACATGGACCAGTGAAGAGACGTCCTCCACTAGACTGAAGGACAAAAGGACAGCAATTTGTCTGTTTCCCTTCCCCAATTCCCCAACACTGTTCCCTCCCCCAATTCCCCAATAAAATCTTTTAAAAAAAAAAAAACAGGTGAGATAATCAGAAAAAAAATTTTCTAAATAAAAAATGCTTTCAAGTTAAAAAAATCCTAAAGACATCATAAAATAGATTTGAATACTTAAAAATACTGAATAAACCACCCAACAGCACCAGTCACTGCAAAATGTTTAGGGAAGTTCTCTGGTAATCTGAGACCACACACTGAAAGCTTTGTGAATAACCTTGTGTATTTAATCACCATTCTCAGTAAAAAGAAAATGTCAGCAATTTGAGCTCAAAGATCTAAGTCTATACAGATAAGACTCAATCAATACTACTTAGAAAAATTTTATTTGGTGAACCACCTCTCTGAAACCTTCGTCTTCATTTCCAGACCAAACATAAAAAGCAGCTATAAGAAATATGTGAAGTAACATCATACCTCCTGAGAATAAAGTTTTTAATCTCCCTCTTGCTCATCAGAATGCTCAATTCTATCCAATCTAAAATAATAAAAGTAAACAAAATTCAAATGGATTTATCTCAGAAAAGCTGCTGTTTTGCCATTTACTGGTCCACTATGACAATTATAAACTAGGAGTATCAATGAAAACACAGGATAAAAAGTTCCAGGATTCTCCCTTATTCATTAACCGCCACTGCCGCACCCCCCCCCCCCCCCCCNCAGTGAAGCAACGTCCTCCACAACTAGACTGAAGAACAAAACGACAGCAACTTGTCTGTTTCCCTTCCCCCAATTCCTCAGTGCTATTCCCATCCCCCAATGAATAATAAAAAAAAATAAACTGCGGATATTAAAGCTAATTTGATCATGATTACCCATGTAAAATGACCCCAGATTATACAAAAAACCTACAAGACAATATATTAAAATGTTTGCATACACATAGAAAAATGGTTAGTATAGTCTTACTTCCCTGTTTATTTCATAATCTGTTTTAATTTATAACAAGGATGTACTATTTCCATTAAAAAGATACCCCAATTTTTAAAAACACATCAGTACAAAAGTATGTTATTATAGGAACAGTCTTGAATATTCTTCAATACATTCTTACTAAATAATTCATGACTCACCAAAAACAGCACAACAGAAAACAGAAACAAAAGCATGAATAGTATACCTTTATACTTTCAGACATTATTTTTCTGGTAATGTATAAGTTTTGGTAACTTAGTCTAACTTTTTAATAATATCTGTATAAACTAGTAATTAATTAATATTTGTATACTCTTTAAAATTATGTGTAATTTTGGGGTGACCGGTCACCTCAGTTGGTTAAAGTGCAATGCTAATATCACGGAGGTTGCCAGTTCGATCTTGAACTGTGAACTGCGCCCTCCCTAAAAGAGTCAACTATGCCATTGTAGTATGAAAGCAATGTATACCCAACCAATGACCATGGCTGTTCCCCAATAAAATAAAATAAAATAAAAATAATTAAATATAATTATGTAATTTAAACAGCCATAGTTTATTGGTACTTATACAAAACACTATTATAAAACAGTCATACAAGGTGCATGATGAATAAGAAAATCTCAAGGTTAAGTACCCACATACTAAAATACATCATTAGATAGTGCAGGGAGAAAAAATGTTTTACCTGTGTAGCATGTCTGGGGCCTGGTTCAGCAGCGTGTAATACTGTCTCACGAATTCCCGCCCGACCAGCAGGGGACTAGGCTTCTCCATAACCATTGCTTTGGTCAATTCAACCTGGAAAAAAAAAAGTTAAGTATGTTCAACCTGAAAGATCAAGTACAAGGGGGAAAACTGGCAGGAGAGAAAACAATCATTTAACTAAAACCAACTCAAAGTATGACGAGATCACTTCAGCAATTCTTGGTTTTAAAAAATGAATAAGTATTCTAAGAACAAACAAAACCCACAGACCAGATGAGATTTTATACATTCAAATTTATTACAACCAGATAAATACTGGGAGGAAAATCACTATGAAGAATTAATTCATCATTATTCACAATATCCAATTTTCTTAGACTGAATGTAAGAACCGCAAAGTAAGTATTTCCATCATGCACTCCTAGCATAATTTTCTTAAGTTATCAAACTCAATTAAGAGTGTTCCAGTTTTAAGATTACAAACATATTCTTATTTATGGCATTATTTGAATCAATGGGCTAAAATCAAACAATGAATATAGCTTAGACAGACAGGCACATACCATCACATTTTTGGTCAAACTAAGTTAAAATAATACTTACTATCTTTAAAAAAGAAAACCCAGGGGGCCAGCCGAGTGGCTCAGTTGGTTAAGAGCTCACTCAAGAGCGCGAGCTCTGAGCAACAGGGTCGTCGGTTCGATGCCCGAGCTGAGCTATCGCTGAGCTGCCAAAAGGTGGCAGGATGGCTCAGCTTAAAAAAACAAAAAAACAAAAAAACAAAAAAAAACCACAAAAACTAAAAGTTCTAAAAATATGCTTAATTTTTTCTATAATAGGACCAAAAATAATCTGAAAATATGGGCAAAAGTTAACAAAATATTTTTAGTCAGCAAAATAATCCCTACCACTTTAAAATTATCATGATGATTTATTGTACCTTTGAGTGTTAAAGTAATTATTGCCAGTTATTATTTACAAAAAACTTTTTGAAAAAGATATTTGGCATGAAATAATCCCAAATTTTCATTTAAGATAAAATCACGTTAAATTTAAAGGCAAACAAAGGGATACGTACATAGTAATTACAGTATTTAGGCGGTGACAAAATTTTATTTCAGTTTTCTTAAAGGATGGGCAAAATGGAATGAGTTTGGTTGGTCAATTTCTATACAAGCAATTTGTGGAGATACCGGTATGTTTAACTTCATCTACTGCATTTCTGCATTATTCTTAAACATCTGTATCATTTACTACTTGTTTCATCAAAATCTAAGAAATTAGTGGAAGGCCTGTTCATTTTCCCAATAACAGGACACTACAGAATAGCTTCCCAGTCATACTGCAGAGTAGTTTGCCTGCAGGTACGGTTGTTAGGACATCAGTAACAAGAATTTGAATCCTAAGTCTTAAACGAAAATACTTAAAGCAGACTAACCAGAGGTAGAATGAGAAAGTGCTGTATTTTTCCCCCTGGCTCTCAGTCCAAAAAAAGATAATTTCAGATGTCCTTAGATGTACTGATCCCCGATTCTTTGAAACTGAAGATCCTCTAATATCTAACTGTAATCTTTTAACAGTCATGTAGCTTGTTTCTGAGCTTTAAGACTTTCCATTACTTCACTTAAATCAGAGCAACTGTACATTTTTATAGAGTTCCCATATAAATTTTCCTTTCTTAAAAGGGCTTAGCTACTCGATTCGAAACCACTAATATCTGACCAACCCTCAGATATAAGAAAAATCCTATGTGATTCCATCACATCCCCAAATCTCACAACTAATTTCAAAAATGGAAGGCAGGTCTCCCAATTCTTTAGAAGCTGATGAAGTTAATATCATTTTCATTCCATTAAGTTGTAGTTTCATATTTTCTAATATATAAAGAGGCTGAATAGAGAGTTCTGCTTCCCTATCTCATCCAAAATACACAATATATCCACAATACAAAAAGCAATTTAGGGCCGGCCGAGTGGCGGGTTGGTTAAGAGCTGGCTTGGGATGCCAGAGGGCCCCAGTTCGGATCCCACATATGAGGGCCAGTG